GAATTACATTTCATTAGCGCATGCTATATACATACCGGTTAAACGAGGAGAAGATGCGGAGTTGTGTTTTAAGTAGAAAATAATCAGGATCAATACGTTGTCTTTCATTTCACGACTTCTCTCGAAAGGCGCGGGGCTTTAAGCACGCTTTGCCCTTTCATTTAAGCAAACAGCTCTACATGAAACTGTTTGTCTGTTTTGTCATTGTTAAATGTCGTGACCTGAGGCACTTGTCTTTCAAATAACGTTGGTTTACTCAAGGCGAGCGCAAAGGAATAAAAATAAAAGACTGAGGTGAACAACTGACATTTAGGAAAGGCCACAATGAATATTAGAAGGAAATAAACAGGGAGTTGCAGCTGACAGAGTACGCAACCTACCACGTGAAGACGCATCCAGCGTACGCCCATCTACAAGTTGCGAAATTTTAACAACGCAAGAAACCAACTCAACTGCCTCTTGCTAATTAACCATGGAGTTGTCATGGCTCAGCAACGAAATAAAAAAAAAAATACAATGCGCCTTTGACGTATTCTCTGAATGGAAACCTAATTATTTTGACTGTTTTTCAATTTATATATGTAATGTTTATAAAATGAATGCTTTGGTTTTCTAACCGATATACAAAAAAAAAGAAAAAGAAAAAAAATCCATGACATTTTTTAATGAACGTTTCAGAAACAATTATCGCATCACAAATTGTATAATTTGTTTTGTTTGCTTTTTGGTCCATGAAGCGATTACTGCAGCAATTTCACTCTAAGATGATGGTGCATAAATACCAGGCGGCGCATGCATGCCGGATAATTGAAGAAGCTGAGCATTAAGCTTACGTGTATCTAATGTGTTAAAAAAGAAACTGGAACAGCTGGCGCCATGGGTTCGATAACAATCGTGATGATCGTTCCACCCAGCTACCTGGATCCGGGTTCAGTGTCCAAGGCCAGCGAATTTCTGATATACACGCGCGCGAATCGATAACTTAGGTCGGCGGAGGAATGAAGAAGCAGGGAGCGTTCGAAAAATAATAAAATAGTGGTAGCTTCGGTGCAGGTGCAACGCCTTTGGGCGGTGCCCACAAAAGCTTCGTCAGATCGATCGCCAACGTGTGCGAGAGTACAAGAACGCGTTTCCCGGAGAAGTCGGCCGTGAAGTCCTGGAGACGGTCAGTAACAACACCGGAGTGTGCGCCCGTACTGTCGCGAAGTACAAGGCGCAGTGTCAATCTGGCAAGGTGGCGTCCTGAAGCGAAGACCTCGCCATGTAGAAGTTTCGAGCACGGGGACTGTCAAGCATGCCCAATTCACGCACAATGCGATTCGCCTAAAGGTGCATCGCAAGTACCCCGAGAGGGGGATTCCTACCTTTGACAGCTATTTCAAAATAAACTGTTCAGGCCACAACTATTGTCGATTAACGTCCTATTATAAATTTTGGGGCAAGGCATATTTTGGGGTCGAATGAGGAATCAGTGAGATTCCTCATTCCACGCTGCACGAAAGCAAAATATAACTCGGTGCAGGAGGCAAATAACACTTGCAAAGCGGCAGAGCAGATGGTACAAAAGCGGCCTCTCGGCGACTTATAAATAAAAAGCAAGAAGAAAGAAGGGTTTTAAATATACAGTTCGGCAATGCGCACAATCTTGCAAAAAAATATGTCTAAAAAAGCAGAAAAAAAAAAAAAAACAAAAAAAAACCTCGCGGCAGTGGGGTTTGAATTACTGCCGCCGAGACGTCGGTACCGCCAAAGCAGCGCCTGGTACCACTCGTCCACGAAACGCGCGGAAGAACACTTTTTTTTTCTTCTGCATTTTTATGCGCACCAATTCAGTGCCTTTGACAGCTTTGCACGCTATGTACTGTCGGGAGCAAAAGTTTGCGGGGCACGGGAGCGCGTGCCAAAATGCATCGCCGCGACGTGCAACGGCGCGCCACCGCATTAAAAAGCCGCGCTTTGCGCATGCGCGCCCTTCGTGCTGCGCGCCCTTCGTCTCTTTCGCTCGTTTCTGTGCGACTCACTCCTGGTAACCGGAGCCGTTTGCGAAGCATGACAGCCAGCCGTTTGGCTGGCTGTCATGCTTCGCGTCCTCTTCAGCTGCCTCAGCAGCCGTGCTGAATGACAAAGCGCCTAGATACCCCCCCCCCCCCCCCCCGCCCCCCCGCGAGCTGCGCCACAAAGCGCGGCGGCTGAAGCAGACGCGCAGCATGACAGCCAGCGAAGTGCGTCGGAAAGAAACGAGCGAAAGAGACATGATAGCGAGCACGAAAAGCGCGCATGCGCAAAGCGCGGCTCCCTAATACGGCGGCGCGCCGTCGGACGGCGCGGCGATGCATTTTGGCAAGCGCTCCCGTGCCCCGCAAACTTTTGCTTCCGACCACTGATCTCAATGACAATTGCTGGATCGCGCTTCGCCACTTGTTTGCTGCAGCGCGAGTGAAGCCACCGGACTTCACTCGCTTGGGATGCGATTTGCGGTTTTGCTAGCCTTTTGCTGCGGTTTTCCAGCGTGCTGTAGACACGTTTTCTACTCGTTCGTCGTCATTCGGCGAAGAAGTTTTTTAAGACTCTGTGTACTGTTGAGAATCGCCATTGTGAACACGCGGAAAATTTTACGAAAGGGCAGTGTCGCAGGAAAAAGGCACAACTCGTCGAAAGCAAGGGTCTGGCGGCGTGTTCAAAGCTTCCTTGGCACGCCGAAGTGCCGTGTCTGTGTGCCTTCGCGCGCTTGGATACCGACCAAGAACCGACGCCGTGTGAATGTGTTTAGCGAGTGCAATGTGCGTGAAGCTGTATGTGCCTCTGGATCAGCGTCTTACTTTACTCAGCCCTCGCGGTTTAGAAACGAGCTTAATCCAGCTTCCAGTAGCGACGGAAGATGGGGGGAAGGTACGTCTTAAGCGATTTACACAATACCGTGCACAACAGCTCCTCAGCACTGATCAGTGCTGGCTTATTATCAACTTACTTAATTGCACTTGACGTTTGACTGCGGCTCGCCTAATTGTAATTGGTCAACAGATTGCACACGACCATATCGGCCGCGCTTCAAAGATTTTCATTCCCGCCTTCTTGTACTTTTGCTTTTGAAAACCCTCCTTGCTCCACAGTGTTGCCCTATTCGTCTCCCACATAATCCATTAGAGTAGATTTGGAACATAGCCATGCATGGTTAATAGCACATGAGAACACGTACAGATTTACCCCCTTTTATTGATTGCAACTCACCTGAAAAGCTGGACGATCCAGAACTCCGTTGCCGATATATATAAATGATCTAAAGGCATCTACGCGCGACACACGTTCACAACTTTGGTGCGGCGTCAATTCTGACCGGTATCCGAGCGTGCGAAGGCACAAAGATGCAACACTCGGCGTGCCAAGGAAGCTTTGACGACGCCGCGAGACCGGCGACACTTGCTTTCGACGAGTTGTACCTTTTGATACGGCTTCAAGCACATTGCACTCGCAAAACACATCCACACGGCGTCGATTCTTGGTCGGTATCCAAGCGAACGAAGGCACAGAGACGCGGCACTTTGGCGTGCCAAGGAAGCTTTGAACACGCCGCCAGACCCTTGCTTTCGACGAGTGGTGCCTTTTTCCTGCGACACTGCGCTTTCGTAAAATTTTCCACGTGTTCACAACGGCAAGTCTCAAGAACACAGTGTCTCAAAAAACGTCTTCGGCGAATGACGACGAACGAGTAGGAAACGTGTCTACAGCACGCTGGAAAACCGCAGCGAAAGGTTAGCAAAACCGAAAATCGTATCCCAGCGAGGTTGCGTCCGGTGGCTTCACTTGCGGAAGCGGGAAGCGGGATCCAGCACTTGTCATTGAGATCAGTGCTCCCGACTGTACGTAGAGGAGTGCAAGTGCCCACTTCGAGAAGCACACTGCGATTTGAAGCAACGCCGAAGGCGCGCGTCTCGCAGTGCCGCCTGTTGAATAACCATTCGAAGAGTTTGCACACTGTGAAGGTAAGAGCGTTCACACCGGAAAGCTCTCTTTACAACGCCTGCACACACATACAGAGCTCACAATTGAGGGGGGGCCACTGAGGTTTTAAGAGCTATTGATCGTAGTAATCGCATTCCAAAGACGCCGCGTTGTCGCAGATTTTTTTTCACCAACTAGGTCCTGGGGATGAGGCCAAGGCCAAGGCTGGGGGATTCATCACCGGAAACATAAAGGAACCAAGCAAACGACCTGAGGCTCGCGGACGCAGTTCGTGGGAGCCGACGACGTCCGAGCCACGATCCGAGCAGCCCTACTAACAGCCTTGCTTTCGAGAAGACTGTATATTCTTTCCGGCGGGCACACAATACTCCGACAGCATGCTTACGGGTGATGTGGATTACAGGAGGTGGACAACAGAACGCCCAATGCACAGAAAATAGACTGAGCACGACAAAGCACACACAGAACCTCCTTAATGCACAGAGAAGGATTGTCGCCGCCATGTTGAAATAAAACCAAGCTGAGGCAGGCCAAGCTACAGTTTAGTACACAACGAAGCTGAGACAGGCCAAGGTTCAGTTTAGTACACAACCAACATACTTCTTTACAAAGAATTAGATAAATGTTAAAACAATTTTTTTTTGTTTAAAAGTTCTAATGTATGTCGACTAAAACAGAAACATTCACGTTGCGTCAAATGAGTTTCGTAGTAACCAGTTAAGGAGGTTAGAAGTACTAGGAGAGGGCACGTTGCAAAATTGGTGAAGCCTAGTCATAAAAAGTTTAAACGATGTTGTGGCCAACGTGACCTCAGATCTCACTGGCGATTGGTGCGCGTGACATGTCACGTGCGAGATGGATGGTTGATTATAGAACGATTCCTTGCAGGCTTGCGCGTGCTCCGTCCGGTAGGATTTATCAGATTGAAGGCCAGAGGGCTAGACGTGAAGCAAGCAAGCGCTGACAAGCGTTTGAGGCGGGCGGTTCAGAAAACGAAAGCCCGGCCTGCCGCCGGGACGCTGATTTCCACCGGGTACGGGATGGGCGTCTGTAGCGTGGTCGGCTGCCACAATCGAACTGGCTTTTCCTCGGCGGGAGTTACCTTTCACCGGTAAGCTCTTGGCATAATACACACAGATAGTTTTAGGGGTAGCAGGAATCGATCAACAATTCTCTTAGATTTCCGACGGTCGCAAAACTACGCAAACAATGGATTTGGGCCGTTGGTCGCGGCGGCGGCTGGACGCCATCGAAGTGCAGCGTGGTGTGCTCCGTGCACTTCAAAACTGCGGACCTCTACACGAGCGGTTCAGGTGGTTGTCGCCTGAAAAGTGATGCGGTTCCATCCATGGCTTTGCCTGTTCAGGTAAACGATATCTGTATAATTTCGCACTTCATATGAATTATAATTACATTACAGTTCTTATTATTACAGAACACGGGATCAATCGCCGTCAACGATGGAAATGACTGCCACCGTATGTAGCCTTATGCGCGGCATGAAAAATAAACTATTCTTATTTTTGTAGTGTGTTAAGGTAGTTTTGAAACAGCTCCACGTACATGTAGCTTTTTTCCAGGGCATAACGCCCTGCTGTTTCTGTTCCTGAGTGCGTGATCTACTTTGCAGGGCTGGGCGCGTGCATGGATGTTGCTGCGGAAGTGGAAGGGGTAAGATATCAGTTATTAGTGGTGCCCATTTCAGCACTCGGGGTGAATGCTCCACAGAAAAAGCAGTTTGTGCTGTGCCATGTATGTAATTCGTTCTGAACGCCATTTATCATCCTCACGATCGGTTCATGATATCTGCATGAATTAAAAAAGAAAAGAAACCGTCAAAAGCACGTGGCAATAGTATTTTATTGTAATGATGACAGGTGACGAATAAGTTATATGCGTGACTATGTTGCAACAAATTCAATTGCACTCAGGTTGTAGATGAGCCAACAGAGGCCAGCTACAAAGAGCCGGAAGAAATGGAGATTCTTGGAGATGAGACTGCCTCAGTTGTGAGTTACATATTTCAAATAAAATGACAAATTATCATCATCTATCAGCTAGCAGTAGTTATCAGAAACCAGCCTAATTAACCTTTTGTCGTGTCAAGGCTTTTGCTCTCGATATGCTCACATAAACTAGCAATGATCAGTCAGGACATACAGAACCTCCATTAGTCAAAAGAGCATGTTGGAACCTAGATATATATTTAGTATAGAACCTATTCTAGGAGCATTATGAAGCTGCACTAATGCATGTTTACACTGTTTTCATTTCCACCAGAACTGAAATACCTCAGTTAATTCTCCACCGTTCTTCCAGGATTTCTCCAAGCCTAGTGCAGCAACCACTGATGTTTCTAAGCCACCCACAAGTTCTGTAAGTAGACATTGCACATTGATTGTTTTAAAGCGCAATTCTAAAGGTTGAATGTTCCGTGCCTGAGCAGGACATAGAAGCGTGTACCATTCTGAAATGTGCTCCTGAGGGCGAACCCTCAGCAACAGAGGCGGGTGAGCAGGAATTTTAAATGGAGAGCGAGAAGCGAGGATGCAGGCGAGCTGGTTCAAAACTCACCTCTTTAACCCTGGAGAGTGGGGAAAAAAGGGACAGTACTACACGAAATCTCCAAGACGCAGCTAAAGTTTATTAGACAAGCCACGTTCCATTCACCCAGTCTGAAAATGGTTGGCTCTACACAATAATCTTGGCACATGTGCCTAGAGAGTAATATTTCAACTGCAGTGTTAAAATGTATTTACCTTAGGTTGTAGCTGAACGAACAGACTCCAGTTGCAGTGAGCTGGAAGAAATGGAAATTCTCGAAAATGTGACCGGCCTGGCTCTGAGTACATATATTTCTAAAAAAAGTACTTTTGTTGTTATAATGATCTATCAAGTAGTAGAGCACCAAAAGCAGCTTCAGTTAACCCGATCCCATCATTTATAGGGCTTCTGGATACGCACCATGGAGCTGTGATTGCCATCAACAAGCATAGTTAGGAAATTCCCTCAATCTAACCTGGGAAAAAAATTTTTTTCTTCATAAGAGGAACAACAATCACCTTGATGTAGAGAGACGTGTAGAAAGCTGGCGTCTTCCTTTTCTTCTGTTGTGTGATAATTTCTAGGGCAATGAGGCAGGTGAAAATATAAACAATTCATTGTAGAAATATGTCATAAAATAATACCGGCAAATACGAGAACTTTTTTTCCTGATGTCTTATCGGTTTGAGGAATGTGATGAAATCTCATGCCCAAACAAATGTATCTTATAGCTAAAATATCTTAAGCATAGCATTACTATGCTACAAATAAAATGTGGTTTTGTACGCAGTCATCACTTATGCTGGGAGAACTCGCACCATTCTGGTAGATTCAGTGGGTTCATAGATGCAACCATAGTGAATGTAGCAGCTTCATCGCAAAGAGCTCAAGTTTCTCTCGAAGACCACCTCCAGCTAAGATGCTAAATACACTGCTACCACAAATGGCTCTTGCACAGTAATGCTGGATGCAATGCATGGCGATTCTCAGGAGCCAGATCTGACATCAGCTCGCTCAATTGTAACCGGTCAAAAGCGTTAATCTTTGGCTGATATCTACGTTTGAGACATGAAAGTGTCCCAGGCCCACATTATTGTCTTAAATAAGAAATAGAAATATTGGTTACTTTCTGTGTGGATGTGCATTTTTGTTTATCTACAATGTTTTCTGTCCCCAGCTGCTCCCCGAGCCCAGTGCAGCTGACATTGACACCTCCGAGCCATCAACAAGTTCGGTAAATACGCACGTACTGCATCATTACTGCCTTGACTGGCCTAGACATCAAAGTACACAACTCTTAAAGTTGAACTTTCTACACCTAAGCAGGACCTGAAAGCAAAACACCCACTAATAGACGCTCTGGAAAATGAATCCTTGAAGACAGAGGTGGGCAAAATTTTAAACTCATGGAACTAGTTCAATTCCAGAAGCTTCATCCTGGATCACATGGTTTTCTCAGCTTTACATGGTATGCACGCTACAATGACTTTTGTTTTGTTATTATCGTGATTCTTTTCCTACCTGCAACCACTGAAAATAAACCATGATTTTACTAACATAAGACTTTCTAACGAATCAATAAACATTTTAATATGAAATTTTTGTGTTTGGTCTTTTTTCTGTACTTTGTAAAGCATGTGTCTTTGAAACTGACTAACAATATCACAATGTTTAGAATGACTGCTACAGACCTTTTTTGAAAGGGTGCCGCCATCTTGAATTGTTGTCACTTCCAGTATGGGCGAAAACATTGTTTTGCCGTCGCCACACCAATAGAAGGCATTTAGGACATAAACGTAACCCTCACACATTCTCGTTTTGCCTCCTCTCTATTTTTGTACTATTTGGAGGTTGAAACGTTCCGATATTTTTTCGTCGCCCATACCGGATATGCCTACTTGGCGGTCGGGGGCGAGAGTAAGCGGAAAAGGTGTATACGTACGTAATTTTATTGCATTCTATATTACAGCAATATGTAAATTAAGGTTCAAATGCTGTGAATTTTTTTTCGCATATAATTATTTTGAAGGCAAAGGGTGTAGGTCTCGCAAAATCCATGTACTTACCAGCTGCGGTCGTTCCTGTTTGACAAAAATTGGGTTGGTGATTACAGCAACTTGATGAAAAACTTGCAAGATGCATTTCAAAAGAAAATAAATACTGATACTGTAAAAGAAACTCCACCTCAACAAAGACAACAAGCGTGTTTCGTATATGTTGCTAGTACATACTACTAAGAATCTTAAGACTTTTATTCTGAATTGGGACACGTCTGAAGGAAACGCAACAAACACGTACGGTTTCGACCCTTAGCTGACTGGCTACATGGACGTCTCAGCTATGTGACTTTTAAACTTCTCGTCAAGGGAGCCTGTTAAGTTCTGGCCGATAAGTATGACCACACTCTCAGCACACAGAATTGAGGTAGCCAGTAATTATGTTTAGCACCTCAACATGGGCAAAGGCAGACCTACCTTAAAGGGCAACTCCACTCGGAGGTCTAATGAAAATCAATGACGTACATAAGTTTAGTGCGACAAAATACAATTGTACCCGATTCCACACGTCGAGGTAACCTTTTTAGCGAACCCAGGGGATCTACTTTTGTCAGGCAACAGCAGGAAAAGTGACATCAACTTCGTGTTCCCTGTAGTCCTTCTTTCCATAGCCTTTGTGTTCTCCTTAAAGGGGCTGTGCAACAATTCTCGGACTTCAGGTCGATAGGTGTGGGAGTTAATCCCTACCGCCTGAGGAATATGGAACAGAAAACCGTTTTTCGATACGTGCCCGAGTTTTTCTTTTTAGAAAATAAAAACAGATTTAAATATGCGCCCCCCGCGGCCACTCTCAACTCTCACACCGTCTTTCCGGTAATGTGGTCGTCACGTGGCTGTGACGTTTAATGGGGAAGTAAGTTTCCGGATTCGCTCGGTCCTCAGCGAGCGTTGCCATGGTTGCCAGCGTTGCGCCGCATCCGAGAGCGAACTCTTTTCATCCTCCGCTGACCAAGATGGCATCTTGGAAGAACGGATTGAGCAAGATCGAGCGTGAGATGTTCGCCTTTAGCGAGTCCGTTGGACTGGTTCCGTTCGCGGGCACCCCGACGGAACGGGAGCGCGGCGTCGATGAGCGCGACGACTCTCCGCCCGATCCTGGCCCTGATCCAGACGCATGGCGACTTACCACCACGGCATGGTAAGTGACGCGCGTCTCATGTCTCCACTTGGATATGCGGTCTCCAAGTAGGTGTCATCTAATGTCTCTCGTTCTAATCACAGGTGCTCGTGCAAAAGGTGCAGCATCATGCCGACATCACGAGAGTGTGTCTGCTGCCGCGAAATACCGCCTGCGGTCGTTACTCAGCCCGTGGGCTGCGTGACCGAGCACCCAGACTATGCGGCGATTTGTCTTCAGACTGGCGTGCTGCGTGTTGCCTTTCGGGCGCTGGAGGAGGCAGGGGATCACCCGGCGCGTGGGGTAGAGAAGTGCGTATTTCGTTTCAAATTATTATATTTTTTTACAGAGCTGCCGCTGATCGGCATGCTTTTTTCTGTCTTTGTTAATCTGGCTTTGATGCAGACAGGTTGCAAGGGGCTCCTAATACGCGGGAGTTGACACGAGTACAGTAATGGCCATAATGACGTCCCAACCACTTTATTTTCTTCTCTGGTGTCCCAACTTCCCAGTTTTTCATTTTGATACTTGATATTTCGCTTGACTTTTTGACTGGTTTCGCGGGCATCACAGGAACAGCGGTACGTGTACGGGCGGCTGACTCAGATTGCATTAAAAAAATTGTCAAAATTCCATATTGCAAGAGCATGAAATCGTTCTAACTTTTACCCAATGTGACTGAGTGCGAGGAGGTTTCCACATGAGTGGCTGTGGCGCCAGAGAACAAGATCATGCACGAACACATCACGAGCTAAGAAGCAAAGCACTCAATAGACTGGATTTGCAAATTTTAAACATGCACTAGTCTGTAATCCGCAACTTCGCATCAATCTCCACCTTGCGGATTTATTCATATTTTAAAAGAACAGTGAACCACCATACTTTTACAAAGCAAACAAAATACAATTGTTTGAAATTTTTTATTATCTTTTGAGCAAAGGTACTGACTGTTCTATGCATTGCTGGAAATATAATAAAAAATGGAAGACTCCAAGTCACATTCCAAAGATACAATATAACATAAAAGATAACTGGGGGCTATGTTCGACAAATGTTTCGTTTCTCCTAAAAAAAAAACAACAGAAGTGACGATATCATGTCTGATTGGCTAGAGGCTCAAATGACGAAAATTCCCTCTTTTGGCGTTTGAGCCTCTAACCAATCAGACACGACATCGTTCCTTCCGTTTCTTTTTAGGAGAAACGAAACATTTGTTGAACATAGCCCCCCTGCACAACCAGTTACCGATTTGCCCAATGACACACAGACAGAACTCTGAGCTGCCTAGAAGCACACCATCCTCTTTTGGTTTGCTATTTCTTAGTGGAGTTAGTCACCACCAACAAAATGCACTATTCTTAAAAAAAAAAAACAACAAAAAAAAAACACCTCTGTAGCTACTGCAGTTTCTAACACTCACATTTATAGTATTGTAATTATGCAATTTAGATATGTGACAATGAGAGGCACCCACATTCTGCCTACCACTTTACATACGTTTGAATTTCAAGGGTAATTGACCAGTTTTCATTGTTTACCAATTTCCCAGGATGCGTTTCGTGGCCTACAGACAATTCGCTCGATGGATGTGGCACAGACTGGGACGTCGCAACAGGCGTGTCCTTCCAGCCTGTGTTGTCGGGAGGATCCGGGAGGAATTCCCATCAGAAGCCTTCACTGGGTTTCTAACTGCACAATAAAACTGTACTCCACCTTACCTAAATGCTTTTTACACTCTGCTAAAAATGATTGCATGTGAAATTATTGTGATAAGGGCATTTCAATTGAGGCAACTGCTATGTATGGTATCTGCAGGCAAAATATTTCACTTGCTGATGAGCTGTTCACAAACAGCCACTGAAATATAGTTGATAATTTCATATAGTATATGACTTTTCCTGTCTGTCACTTCATCAGCTCTCTCCCAATCATGCCCTTTCCTCTTTTCTAAATTACTGGACAGCGGTGTTGAAAAGTGTCATTAATGGGCAAAAGGTGATGATCTGACAGGCAGCTAAGACAGTCAGGGCCTCAAAGGAAACAATGCTCGGCCCTGCGCATAGCCCCCAGGCATTGTAAATATAGAAGCAGTCGCAAAGTGTAACCTGGTCGCCTGGAATTGCATTGAAATAAGACCATATGCTCCTTATATCAAGACGAGAGAGGGTCAACTTGCTGATAGACTTCCTGGTCGTCGTCACTGGGACTCGACTCAACATCCCCTGGTCTCATTCACATATATTTTTTGAGACCATTATTTGAAAACACTGATAGTCATGAAG